TCTGCCTCCCTGCGATGGAGGAGTGGTGCCCTGAAGTCCAATCTCAGCAGGAAATGATCTGACCACGACAAGGGAGAAGCATCTATACCCCTTAATTCCAGATCATATCTCCACTGCCCCGAGAGAAACAGCGTGTGTCCCCCCCCCTATGAGTCGGACCCTGAACTACTTGGGTCAGGTCCATGGTTGTCATGGAAGCCATGAACTCCTGAGCCGTATCTGAGGGTTCGCCAAGTGATGGCAAGTGAAGTCTCCCAGTACCATAAGCCTGGGGAACTCCACCGCTAGCCTGGCTACTGCCACTAGCAGCACAGGCAGGGCTGTTGTAAAACAGCTGGGAGGCAGATACGTCAACAGCAAGCCCAACTGAACCCTTGAGTCCAACCTCAAGAGGAGAGACTCACACCCAACAATCTCCGAGGCAGGTATCCTGCGAGGACAAAGACTCTTACTGACAATAACTGCCACTCCTCCACCCCTTCCCTGGAGTCACGGCTGATGCAATACCCATCTGGGCACATTTCTGAGAGGGGAACACCCCCCCTCCTGGCCCAGCCATGTCTCAGTTATGCATGTCAGGTCAGCCCCCTCCTCCAGGATTAAATCCCGAATGAGGGGGGCCTTGTTGACAACAGACCTGGCATTAAACAGCAGCAGCCTGAGGCCAGAGCCCTGACATCCCAAGTCACCAGGTATACGAGGCGAGCCCGGTGAACCAGAACCAGAGGGGCTGGAACAAGTAATCGCTTTGTGACAGCAAGTCCTAGTTCCCTGAGAGCGGCCTACCCCTCGGCTCCCGCCATATAGAACTAATCATTCTGGATTATGTTAGAAATATTTGGAAGGCATTCATTAATATTAATTTGAAAGGCTCTGATAGGAGCAAATAAAAGTTGTTAGACTGATTAATTGTTGTGAGGAGTGTAGTAGAGAAACCAAAATGTATGAATCTTACAAACGGATATTTGTAGAGATATCACATGTCTAACCTTGAGATAGCCACATTTGACTGTTCTGCATTAGCAAAATAGTCAAAGGAGAAGTAGAACACAAAAAGACATCATAGAACCATTAGAGATCAAAGCTATGATTTGATGTCATAAGATAACTATGAAAACAGGCATGAAATGAGAGATGGATAGTAATTATTAATATACATTAAGACATGTCAGATATGTACACTATGAGATCAATCACAGAAAGTGAATGTCTACATATTGATTTTTTACGAAAAAGGGAAAAAAGTCAAGATATTTCTTGGGGCAGTTTAGAAACAATAATGCTAGCAGGCACATGGTTATACCATACATCCCCTGCCTCTATTAAGCATAAATAATAAAAAGGCAATTCCTTACTTAAATAAGTATCGGAACTTCATAATTTTTCCTTTTCAAGCAGACAAACATAAAAGACATTCTCCCCATTTCATATATAGCTTTTGAAGTGTAGTGTTCAGCTTATTCTATGTAAAACTCAATAGAATACAGTTTCAAAAGGGTCTAAGATTAGCAGAAGTGTTACCACAGAATAATTAATTTCAGTAACTCAACAGCAGGGAACTTTCTTCCACAAAGAGAGAAAAATAAACCACTCAGCTATCAAGCAGCCACATTACCTTATAAAATGGGTGGCTGCCAGCAATAGCTTTTTTTTTATTACCTCTCTTATTTAGAAAAGCCATTGCATATATTCCATTCAGTCTCCTTTCTGTTGATGTTTTGATAGCCTGAATGCTGCCGTACAGTGAACTTATTTCCTGGAAATGTACATTTGTAACAAAGGTCTGATAGGTATATAATCCCCGGGGTTCTTCATTCATTTTTCCCTAGAGTTTTTCAGTGCCTTGTTTAAAGTTATAACTTGAGCTCAGGGATATAGCAGAATTTAAAATAACTGGCATTTTCCTACAGTCACACCATTTACAAATAGGCAATAAAGGACCAAACAAGAGGAAAATGGAAATTTCACATTAGCGGTAGAGGTCTACCATGAAAGAAGAATCAATGCCTTATTATCCAAAACAGTTTGTGTAAAAATAAATACCTTCTCATGTGTTATAAATTCTGTATAAGGAAGGAAGCACAGATTCTATAGTAAAGTTAATGGGATGCACAACTGAAAAATAATATAATAATGAGATCTGTCTATGAAACAGTAATTTATTTCATTTTTGTTCAGTAGATATTTTTAAAAATATTACAGTGGTTAAAGTTTTTCAGGTAGTGTAGTAAATTAGCAATGCAATTGATGAGGATCTTCTTCCATGCTCATGAATGCTCAGCTTGCCATTGTCATTTGGTTCAATCAGAGGTGGGTTTCAGCAGGTTCCGACCAGTTCTGGAGAACCAGTAATAAAAATTCTGACTGGCCCCACCCCCATCTATTCTTTGCCTCCCAAGTCCCAGCTGATCAGGAAGAAATGGGGATTTTGCAGTATCCTTCCCCTGCCATGCCCACCAAGCCACACCCACCAAATCATGCCACGCCCGCCAAGCCATGTCCACAGAACTGGTAGTACAAAAATTTGAAACCCACCACTGGGTTCAATGTACCAAGATCCCAGATGGACCACATATACATTTTTGGAAAATAAAGATAACTGGCGTTCCAAGAAAAAAGGGTTTATTTCAAAGCACTACTAATATAAATGCTAGACTTGGCAGTACCAGAAGCAAATAGATTGAGATCAGACTGGTCCACTATAATAACAATACACAGATTTGAGTCATTTTCCTTCCCCAAAGTGTGAAGTTATCACTCCATCCCTGAATCCTGAAATATAGGGCAATAGTGCAAGAGAGATTAAAACAGGCAAGATGGCAGTTGCAGCATTGTGATCAGAGCCCTACATCTTGCATTCAGTGTTGACAGAGTTGGCAGAATGTACAAGGGGATTTACATTAAAACGTATATCTGCATCTGCCATCTTGTCTGTTTGACTTCTCCTGCAGCTGTGTGGGATTTCTATTCTGATATTGGTCAGGACAAGTTTGATAGCAGACCTCAAGGAAGACAGGTAGGGAGAAGGAAAGTAAAAGAAAAGAAAAAGAAAAAAATCAGCCTGGGAAAAGGCTATGTCAATATTGGTAAGGGAAAATTGAGACTTGGGAGTTGCCCAGGGGAAGTAAGCTGAGAGTTAAATCCAACTTGGAAAAGAACTGGGTTGAATCTGACAAAGTGAGAAGATACATGAAGTAGGGACTGACAGGGAAAGGAGAAAATAGAACAACTCTGCCTTGCCTATAGCTATCCAAGGATGTGCTTCCTAGATAACTGACTCCAATGGCTACTGTTAAGAAATATTTTTCATGTCATAATACATATTAGAAAATGACAATTAATTAGCCTTTCATAGCTAAGCCAGAAAAGAGGCACACTAAGAGAATGTATAAACTATTGGTTGAAATAAACATGTTACCAAGTCTTGGAAGAAAAAAAGTCTCTGGTGATTTCCTGGTCATCCTATATGCCTCCTAAAATAAAAGTCTCTAAGAACAAAAGATGCTTCTGAAGCTGTTAGGGATAAACAGCTTGCCTGAAGGCATCCAACCCTTACTATATCTGCATGCAGATCTTGCTAATGAAATGTAGCAATCAAATTCAGAAGACAAGAAAAATTCCTTCATAGGCACACATACTTACTCCAAGAGGGACACATTCAATCAGTAGGAGGTATAGAAATAAACAGTTACTTTTCCCAAAATGACATGATTGTTCTCATCTTGGGCAAGTCTAATATGCATATTGATGTGAGATCAGATGTAGAATTTAAATACTTGGGATTTATATATGTGCTATCAAAGACTTTGTGTTGTCTCATTTCTTTTTGCATTTTTCATTCTTTTTGTTAAATTCTCACAGAAATAATGAACATTCATTGTCTTATAACTGAACTCTGTTTCTTAAATATACTTGGCATGGATAGTGACCAATCTTTATATTGAAACCAATAGCAATCATCAGACCCTATACTAAGCTTCTCACATAATATTTGTCTTGCTGCGACGTTAATCCACAAAATGCCCTTCATCTTAAGGGCACACTATCAAATAGACCATTTGGGGGCTATTGCCAACCCTTGATCCTGAAAACATTTAAATGGAACTTATGTTTACAGCAGCGATAGCAAGGGGATAATTTTTGCACAGGTGTTGTCAATTTTCTTTTATATATGCAAATAGATGTCATGAGGGGAAAAAAAAATCTTACACCAAACATGATGAAAAAGTACTCTTGCACCATGGGTATGCTTGCCAAAAAAATGATTGATGTAGCTTTACTAACACTGATCTCTTGTGTGAGTGTATGTGATCTAGGCATCTTCTTCCATCTTCCCATGGATGATAAGTGCTGTCAATCAGGAAAGCAATCATACGTTTCTTAGCTTAGTGTATAATGGCATTTACTAACTGATAAGATCTATACATCAGAGCCATAGATTCCCAATATAATTGTAAGAATAAACCATTACTTATGAGCTTAAATCTTATTTAAGCAGACTAGTTATTTGTAAACACTGTACATTTAGTGATTACCGGTATCCTTGAGAAAATTATTAGAGGGCATTTGTAGATGTACATTCAGCACTCAATTAGCAGTCCGATTAATCAAAAGAATAACTATTGTCTAAATGTGTATTAAGAAATAAATCTTGTTGACATGTAAACTCTAACAAAAAATGATATACGAGGATTAAATGTTCTGTGTGCTGAATTTTAAATGGAACTACTTTTAACTGATGTAGGTAGATGTTATTTGAATTTAATAGCTATACTTTCCCAAATATATTTCAGTTTAACAACCATATACTCTCTAATTGTAAAGAGAGTGAGTTGGAAGAGTTGGATTAGAGCCAGCAATATTCAGCTTCAGGTTCACCCTCATTCATGGAAAGACAGTGAACATCCTAGCTTCATTCCCAGCTTTCAGGAATCTATGCCACAGAAAGTTTGCTGTGGGGATAGATGAAGAATAGACTATTACGTAAGAATCATTCTTACCTTATGACCCTTTCCATCGTCCATTTTCCTTCCAGAAAACTTTGTCTTCTTCTAACACCAAATTCACTCTGTGAGATTGTTGGGGATGGCTGGGAGAGTCTTCTTTACCTAATCAATCTGTAGTCAGCATGAGTAGGACCCATATGTACAGGTTTGGATAAATGACCTTTAAGAATAGATAAATGACCTTTATCTTTTTATCCTTTTATTAGGAACTGTGGAGAAATCTTCCACAATTGCCAATCATACTGTTATCTTATTGAGCAACTCTTGGTTGCAGCTTTGGTCAGTAGTATTTAGTGAGTTATGGCTGAGCATTTTAAATAGTCCAACTCTTTCTTTGTGATTCTGGGAGCAACACAATAGACCTCTGTGACATAGGCAATGCATATATGTCAAAGCTTGACACCATGCCAATGCCAGACAAGAGTTTCCATTGTTACAGCTCCTCCCTGCCCACATCAACCTGGGATATCATTTCTTTGAACTTTATATCCATCCTACAACATGTCAGAGGCCTGGATAAATATTTGATGAAGTTGATCTCTTTTCTGAAGCGGCCCATTCATTTCCTGTCATGCCTATACTTAGATTCTTGGCTGTTTGTTCAGCAATTTTTATTGAAGCAAAGTTTGCTGACTCATCTTTGCAGATGCCCAAAACTCAAGACATATTTTTGGAAGGAACTACTTTTTTAAAAAAAAAAACTATTGACAGGACAAGGCACAAATAACCAGTCTCAGATTACATATTTTACACAAATTATATGAAATGAGGGGTCCTTGGTGCTCTCTGAGCTTGTTTGTTTTCTTGCAGATGTTTCATTACTCAAACCAGGTACCAACATCAGTGCAGTTTTCTGTCAGTTTACACTCTGTCAGTGTTACACGCCTGTCAGTGTTGGGGGGGGGAGTGATCTTGAAGATTCTTTGATTGGGCTGTTTGCTGTTGGCTTCTTTGGCAGTTTATTGATTGGGTATTGTTTATTATCTCACCAGAGCCTTGGTGGCGCAGCAGACTAAAGTGCTGTTAAGTAGCACCAGCTGCCTGCAATTACTGCGAGTTCAAATCTCACCAGGCTCAAGGTTGACTCAGCCTTCCATCCTTTCGAGGTAGGTAAAATGAAGACCCAGATTGTGGGGGCAATAAGCTGACTTTGTATAAAAAAGAACACCGCTGGGGGGGGGGAGGCGAAAGCCCTACTAAGCAGGTATATACAAATGTATGAAGGCTATTGCTTAACGCATTGTAAACCGTGCTGAGTCTCCAGAGAAGGGCAGCATATAAATCAAACCAATAAATAAATAAATAAATTTGAACTCACAGTAATTGTAGACAGCTGGCAGCTAAGTGCTACTTAACAGCACTTTAGTCTGCTGCACCACCAAGGCAAAGGTAGAAGAAAGGGGGAGAAAGGAGATACAGCTAGCTGGACAGGCTCAATTTAGTGATTATACTTACACTATTGTAAGACCTAAAGGAGCAGGTGGGACAGACCATCCTGGAAAAAAATCTATTTATGTGGCTCCTAAAACCCAATATTTAATAAATAAATATGGGCTTGATGGTACATAAACAATCAAATTTCAATACAGAATATAAAGCTCTCTTCTCCTTGATATCTGCTGTTGTATAAAAATTGAGCAGAAAATACCACATTAAAGCAATATTTTCAGTGTAATGCAAACTACTAGTATTCTAATATTCACAAAATTTTGCTATTGTTCCTTTACAAACTTCCCACTTTCTGTTTTTGCAAATCCTGGCTTCCAACCCACCTATAAATTTCTTTCTTCATTGTCTTTCTTTTTAAAATTTCTTAGCCTCTTTCAGAAGAAATTATTAACTGGGAATTACCTTTCAAGCAGGCTGGGGGTGGACTGGGGTGAACATTGTCCATTCTTGGCCTTCCCAAATGGTAAGTAGCTTGACTTTATGTTGAGGCAAGCAGGAAATGCAAATCAGTTTTGTAACATACTACAAAAACGAATCAAATCTCAAAGTAAAATAAGAAGCCTATAAACTAAAAAGATGCACCTTACTGCTTATCACAACTTGTGAAATTCTGCAAGCCACCTTTATTTTGGTAGGTAAATAAGCAATACTCAGTTCTTCAATCAAAGCCAAAGGATTTTTGTTCAGTAACAGAGTAATATGCCATGCAATGATGGCAAGCATATTTTAGGCCAAATGAAGCTGTTCTGAAGATGGCTAAGTATCTGCCTAAATGCCAGTCTTGTTGAATCTGTTTTCACTTCAAGTACCAGAAGTGACACATTCCCCTTTGTTATCAAAATGAAGTGCTAAAGGTGATATTATCTGCTTCAGAAAACACCATGATGAGCATCATTTACTTTTGTCATCAACTTTGCTCTAAGGCTGGTAGCTTCTGTACAGGTGTGGACAAGTATCCATGTGTAGACATCCACATCAGGATCAAAGTTGACATAAATTGAAATGGCTGTTTTGAAGATGTCAGTATATTCTTTAGATTAGATTAGATTAAATCACCTATGAATTAAATCACCCCACTGAAATTTTGCAGAGTCTTCTTAAATTGTTCCCATTGAAATCGCTTGAAATTAAGAGTAATTACAGTGCAACCATTCGGTCTTTTCTCTTCCCCAGGATTGTTCCAAACTGCTACTACAAAAGCCTGCCTTGTGGGGAAATGGTGGGTGAAATGAACTAAAGAAAATTTATCCCAAAATGTTCATGCATTTTGCTAAGGTTTAATGATGCAGAAATAAATTTGCTTTTGAACATATAAATTAAGCCTTCCTTAAAGAGAAAAACATTTGTGCATTTCTCTATGATATATAGAGTAAATATATTGTTTTTGTTTGCTTGCTATTCTTGCAAAAAAGAAAAAAAACCTTTCTATTTTGCTTTACTACTGTCATTTTAATTTTCCAAGTGTATTTTAAATTTAGCATCTGCTGTCATTAAAACATTTTATTTAAACAACTCTGTAGATTTCTTATAGATCTGCAAAATAAAATTAATAAGTTTTTAGTCTCATATACAGTCCTGTAATTTTTCATATAGCGGTTTTTACTGCTCACTGCAATGACAAATCTATACTTCAGGGGTGGGTTCTACTTACCTTTACTACCAGTTTGCATCGTGCCCACGCACAGATCACTTCTGATGATGTCCGGGTTAGTGGGCGGATGCTCCCTCCGGTTTTACTACTGGTTCTATAAAACTGGTCCAAACCGGGGGCAACCCACCATTGCTGTACTTGTAAACATCCATGCTTCTCTACGTATGCTCCTGCTTTATTTATTCATCTTGTAAAAATATTTCTTTCTTCCTACAAAGAAAGAAAGAAAGAAAGAAAGAAAGAAAGAAAGAAAGAAAGAAAGAAAGAAAGAAAGAAAGCCTTCAGATGTCCAAGAACATAATAATAGCCCTCCAGGAGAGAGTGCATGAAATAAGCTTTGAATTTTCAGGTGGAAAATGATAAAAAAAAAAAAGTAGTAATGAGGAAGAAGAGCATGTTTCAACTCCTAAATACTTATTCATGAAAATAAATTATCTGGAAATAAAATCATTGTCATTTTCTAATTTCAGCTTGTTTATTGCATTTTTCTTGGAAGGAGATCCATTACTTGGAAGAGGGATTGTCTGAGTTGCTGTAGTTAGAAGTGCACTTTCAGCATAAATTCAACGGCTAATTTTAGCCTCTCCTGAACTGAAATGTGCAGGCCAAACTGATCCATGCATTTGTAGCTTCCTATTAGGATTCCTATTAGGATTGCTATAACACATTGGAATGTCTAGGAAGTCAGTTAAAATACTGAGTACCACCAGGTGATAAATAAGCACACACATATAATTTATGACCTCAAATGATTTAGGGTCTAAGTACATATTAAAAAGCTGCTTCTGATATGTCCAATCTGATTAACTTTGTTTTGTCTGATGATATCCTCCTTATGATCTTAGAAGATGCCAACTTTTTTTTTGTTCATAACTACTTCCCACCAGAGGTGGGTTTCAGCAGGTTCTGACCAGTTCTGGAGAACCAGTAGTGGAAATTTTGAGTAGTTTGGAGAACCAGTAAATACCACCTCTGACTGGCCCTAGCCCCATCTATTTTCTGCCTCCTGAGTCCCAGCTGATTGGGAGGAAATGGGGATTTTGCAGTATCCTGCCCGCCTAGCAAGCCACACCCACCAAGCCACACCCACCAAGCCATGCCATGCCCACCAAACCACATCCACAGAACCTGTAGTAAAAAATTTTGAATCCCACCACTGCTTCCCACCTGTATTGTGATTGGGTTAAAGAGCTTGCTTTGCAAGATAAGATGAACCAGGAATCTGAATTAACTCACTTATCCAATCTTAAGTCTTAAGTAAAGGGGAAGTCAAGATCCCAGAGGCAATAATGAGATAACCAGAATTCCCAAAGAGTCCAGAAAGATTCAAGTGATCACAATCCTGCAAAATCAGTAGTCAGAAATTCATTCACTCTCTATCAAACCTGAATTTGGTAACTATGCAGCCTGAACTTCCAAAGCCTTTTTTTTTAATCCCAGTACTATCTATTCATCTATTCATCATGCACATAGGAACTGAACAGGGGTGGGTTCTACTTACCTTTACTACCGATTCAGAACGGGATCATGTGTGTGTGCTCGCTTCACTCGTGCGCATGCTTTCCTTCTGCGCATGCCTTGTTTCTGCGCATGCACAGAAGCTTCTGCGCATGCACAGATCACCGATGACAACATCTGGGACAGTGGACGGGGTCTCCCACCAGTTTTACTACCGGTTCTTGTGAACCGATCTGAACCGGGGGCAACCCACCACTGGAACTGAATCAGCAGAAAGACATACCTATTCAGCTGTATTCATAATGGCATTATAATGAGTTCTTTTTGGGAAATAGTTTAGGCCACAGACTAGGAAACTTGACAAAGTTGCAGACTTGTCGAACAATTGAATTTATTGTTCAAAAATAATTTTTTATTCTGAAGTACAGTTGAGGTTATATTCATTTCTTTTCTAAAATGTGCTGTGCATTCTACAGGTTTACTTTGACTGTATCTACTGTTTCTATGAGTTTCTATTAACTTTTCTTCCTCTCCCCCTTTTATAGGAGGTTTGAATTACTCATAGATGTGTTAAATACAAAATTTAGCCTTGTCCTGGCTGTGGATGTACAAAAACTAAAGTTCTCAACCTGAGTTGAGATTTGGCTGCCTTGATTACTATTTGGCATTTACCACATTTTTTGTCCAGGTATTATTTGCTCTGATCTAAGCTGCCCTTATGATTTTGGCATTTTTTTT